GGGAGAAACACAAGTCAGAAACAAAGGAAGTGGCCTGATTTCAATGAGAAAGGGTATCACTCAGCTCCCATTCCTCTGATCTGGGCTCATAGTAACCTGGGTTTATGGCCCAAGGCCCCACCTGGACTCACAAGCTTGAGAAAAGATATCAACCGGTGGTGGTGGTTAAGCTCTGACCTTTACACAAGGGAATGTTTTTTAAATGGCCCCCGGTTCCGGGAAGGGAAACTTAAGATGGTGCCTAAGATGCGCTTTCACAAGACCATTAAAACAGCTCATCCCCCTCCAGCCAAGGAGGAGATGGTTTTTTGCTTTAAATCCTGCTAGTGTAGGGACTAGGGACGGGGGACGCCGATTTGGGTGCGGTGCCCTGTCTTCCGCTAGCACAATAAACTTTGCTCCTGCATTTGACTCTGAGTGAGGCCTTCTTTGTCGTTCTTGGCGTTAAGCTATAACACCTCCATCTCTTTCAACTTAAGTGGTAAATGTCAATTGGGGTAGAGACTGATCTAGATGGGCCCAATTTCAGAACCACGGATTATATTTGGTAAGGACTGAACTTTCAAAGGAATGAAAACCAGTACATTACTGTGGCTCTGTCATCTTCCATCCTCCAAAGAGGCCTTGTTTTTCTCTCTGAGTTTTTTCTTGGAACGGTTATGTTGGCATCACACAACTCAGTGAACAATCTCGAAACCAGCTCCTGCCAGGCTTTTGAGTAAATACTCTGCCTCTGGGTCATTTTTTTCTGGTGTTGATGGGTATGGCTCTGCATCTTTTTGAAATGATATTTTGAGCTAGGGTTTAGAGTTGGGAATAAGCAAATCAAGTTGCTTATCTTTGTTTGAAGATCAGGGACTGGCAAACTTTTCCTTAAAGGGTCAGAGAGTAAATATTTTAGGCTTCTTTGCAGCTCCACCATTGCAGCATGAGAGCTCCATTGACAATGCCTAAACACGCAAGCATGGCTGTGCTCTAATAAAACCTTAGTCAGAGGCACTAAAATTTGAATTTTACATAATTTTCAAATGTCACAAAATTTTCTTTTGAAATTTTCGACATGTGAAATGTAAAAGCCATTCTTGGCTCGTGGGCTGTGATTTGTCAACCTCTGTTGTAGGTCGTTTAAGCAAAACACTTAGTAAATGGGTTCTCCTGTGCTAACTGCTTAACTTACCAGAGTTTTGCCTTGGGGTTGGAGACTACAAAGCTTTAGTTAGCAATAGTGTTATTTGCTTCATTTTGCTATTGCTCCCCAAACTTAGTGGTTGATTAAATCAAGGAAGGATCCGAATCCTTATGTATCCCTGGCCTAACATCATTCTAACACCATAATTACACTTGTTATGGACAGAATGTCTGTCTTTCCAAAATTTATAGGTTAAAGCCCTAGCCCCCCAATGCCATGGTATTTAGAGATGGGACCTTTGGGAAGTAATTAGGGTTAGATGAGGTCATGAAGGTAAAGCCCTTGTGATGGGATCATGACCTTATAAGAGACAGCTGTTCCAAGAATAAAAACTGAGAGAGAAAGATAAGTGGCCTTATTGGAGGATGGAAAAAAACAGAGCCACAGCAATTTGCTGCTGTTTTCATTTCTTTGAAAGTTCAACCCTTACCAGAGAGCTTGTTCTATCTCTATGTGAAGACACAAGAAGGCAGCCTTCTGTAAGCAAAAAAGAGAGCTCTCATCAGACCCCAACCATGCTGGCACCCAGGTTTCAGACTTCCAGGCTCCAGAACTATGAAAAAATAAATTTCTGCTGTTTAAGCCACCAGTCTATGTTATGACAATTTTTTTGTGACAAGCTGATGAAGACAATACTTCATTGGGATCCCCATATTTAAAATTTATGATCATGCTACTATATGATACAGGTTTCACAGAGGTTTCATTCTCGAATTCCAAAGCTTACACGATTAACCACAGGACTTATCTTTCTCATTGACTAGAGAAAGAGATTTTACAAACTAATAAAATAAAATGAAAAATAGCCATCATTTACCATTTCATAAAAGGTTATTTTTACATCCATCTTAACAACTTGAAAATCCTAATTTCACAATTAGGAAAATGCTTTAACTGAATACACAAACTTAGAAAATTTCTGTAGATTATTTTTATTTTTCCCTCTTATTTTGCCATAGAATGGTAAAAACTTTGCCATAGATTAGCATTAGCCTGTTGACTTTTTTTTAAGTCAAACTACAGAGTACTATGGCGGAATAGCAAACTCTACAAAAGTACTAGTAAATGCATGTTAAAATACTAATTATGTGTCATATGTAAATACAGTTATGATGTATTGCATGCCCCAGACCACCCCAAGGTCTTATTTTACTGGAAAGGAACACTAAAGCACAGAAAAGTCCTCTATTTAAATTTAAATTCATGTGTCAAATACTGCTAATGATTGCTATATTTTGGCTAATTAAGTTATAGCAAGATAAAGTCACTTCCTAGACTGTGTTTAAGGAAACGAGAGTGAACAGTGTTCCAATAAAAAGGCTAATTTAGAAACACTGGCAAGGAAGATGGAAGCATGACAGGAAACAGAGCACCCTTGCTCCCAGCTATGAGCTTGATTTATGGCTAAAATACTGAATAGCCAGCTTGGAAAAATAAGAGAAATATACCTGAGTGGGCATATTTTGAGTAAGGAGCACTGAAGAAATATCACAGAGTGTGGTAAGAGAGGGGAGCACAGAAAGGAGGAGTCACCCTGAAGGAAGTGCTGGACTCCAAGGCCTGAGGGCTGCAAAGCTCCCTCCACTTGTGAGTGTGGACTAGCATCCAAAGGCTGGGATCTCAAACCTGGAGCAGAAGAGAAGGGAAGGAGAGCCCGTGCATGGTGAGGAGAGGGACATAGGGAAACAGTGTGCCTGTGAGGAGGAGACCACGCCTTCCCAGTGAAACAACATGCCTAATGGCAGCAGCTGGGACAGGAAAATTTCACCCTGGGTGCTGACCACAGGAAAAGCTGTCCCAAAGTGTGTGGCTTCCAAATAGAAAGGACCCAGAGAGCTGCACTCAGCAGCAACCTAAAGGGACCCTCTGCTTTCCTGTAAGGCATTGTGTGGAACCCCAGAAAGTATTTGAACTGTGTGGCATGGGCAATGGGAAGGTCCTCTGTTTTTACCCTGTCCTCCAATTCTAGTTCCCCAGATAGCGGCCTGCTGCAAGTTCAGGTTGAATTCAGCCTGTTGTCTTTTCTGTATGGACAGTTTCAGTGGCCTGGGCTCAGCGGGTTTGATCAAGAGACTCCTGTGAGCAAGCTGCCTGCCCAGCCCCCAGAAGAGGGACCAGAAATGCCAGTGGGGCAGATTGGGACTCCAGCTGCTGGAGCTGCCAGTGGGACTCCCGCATCCAGAGGAAGGGACTAGAGCTGCTGGTGTGGCAAATTTGGGATTTTTGACTTGCTGAGGGGAAGCGGGATAGAATGCATGGAGCTTCCCCAGCTTTAGTGAGATCAGCTGGGCAGGAGACCTGTATTTGGCTGACTTTGTATGCCCTCCTGCATGGATATGAGGTACAGGGGAACTGGGGCTTCACAGGGCAGGTTCTCTGCCTGTATGCTGCTTTGTGCATTTTTTATTCCTAAAGAGCTGTCCACCTTCTTGGCTTGCACTGGGGAGACAGACCAGTGAAAGCCAGGATTTGTGTCTGCATTGTGGAAAGAACTGAGCGCTCTGTGAGATCAGCCAACCAGATCTGGGAAGGGAGGGGCAGAGCACACCTACCTCTCATGCAGGCTAAGAGCACCATCCCCAACAGGAAAGGGGCTGGTTCAGCTCACTGAAGCCCTAGATATCCCCAACAGGGCACAGTCCTGGGGGGGAAGGGAGAACAGCTCACAGGATAACAGAAGAGTAAGACTCTCAGGGACCATTGTTTGGGAACTGGAGGAAAAGCTTAAAACCCCTTCTGGGTGCTGGGCAGGCAACTTGCTCACAGGAGTCTCTTTGATCATCCCACTGAGCCCACGCTGCTGAATCTGCCCATGCAGAAAAAACAACAGACTGGATTCAATCTGAACCTGCGGCAGGCCAGTGTATGGGGAACTAGAACTGGAGGACAGGGTAGAGACTGAGGAGCTGGCTGTGAAGCAGAGACTAACTTCCCCACAGTGAGTGCCTGACAGTGAAATATATCTAAGTAAGGGGAGTAATATCCCAAGGTACAGTAGCCGGCCTACACACTAAAGACTCTTCAGAAGACTTTGGAAAAAGACCAGGTAATAACAAGGGGGAGGCAAAATAGCTGACAAATGGAGGTGGTCCACAGAGAGCCTCAGATCAGCCAACTACCTAAGGACACCAGAGCCAAACCTAGACAGCTCCTGACATTGGCTGACACACAAGTACCTCCCAGGAGACCTGAAATCAGCATACAAAACAGTACGCCTCAGACAAAATAAGCTGCCCAGAAAAAACTCACCTGGTTGACTTAATTTTTTTTTTTTTTTAAGGAAAAACAGGAATTTTTTTTTAAAATCTTTTAAATTTATTTTAATTCTTTAATTTTTTTTTTAGGATTTATTTTGTCTTGCTTTGCTTGTTCTTTTTTGCTTTGTTTTGTTTTGTGTTTGTTCTATTATTAAGATTTTTCTTGATATCCTCTGCTTTATTACTGGGATATTATCATTATAATCAATAAGTTTAATGCTTTTCTCTATTGTTCCTCCATATCTCTTATTGGCCTCCCTCTCTTCCCTTGGTTTACCTCTCTCTCCCTTCTTGTTCCATTGGCACAACTTTTCCCCCCCCTTTTTCTCAGCTTT